ACTGAACCATCGTTTTTGCCAACTAGGTCATTCAGTATGACGCCTGCCCACTGTCCTGGAGCAAACTGGGTCTCCCCTAGGTAGGCGATAACTCCTGGTTTCACACCGTTGACCCAAACCTGTTCGCCAACGGTGTAATCCCCCAAAACATCGTCGCCCTCTTCCGAGATTTTAGTTGGAGTGGTGGGCTTCAGCGCAGCACCTGGAAAAAGCACAGAAACACAGTTATCTGCCATGTTGCAGAGCAACACAAGGATTCATATAACAAAAGCAGAATGTGCTTAAATGCATTAAAACTAAAAGGTGCATGGAAACTGTGTCATTTCTTCTTACAGTCATTACACTCCTCTCTGATTTAAGTTGCGAACACTGTGTACATTGTGAGGCCATCCTCATTCACAGTCCAGCAGAATCGCCTTCACACTATTCATCCTGTTTGACCGTGCCATGCCAGCAGAAAAAAAAGCTTGTGTGGCAGCATCTAGCACAACAGAGCAGTTTGTGCAAGATTAGGCGATAGTCTAATTCCTTCTGAAAAGTGGGTCAGAGAGACGGTATCTGTGATGTGCCGGTGATTAACCCTGCCATCAGCCCTGTGATATCGCCTATTTGACACATAGAAGAGCTGGATGTCTGTTCTCATCCGCACAGCCTGTAAACCGGGAGGGGCACCGTTGGCACGAGGTCTGGTGCACCGCGCTGCCGGTAAAAGCGTGTTTATCTATGTCTGTGTGCAGGAGTGGTTGGTGCCAGGACGGTCTCCCCGACACCCTGAGAGCGGGCCCGGGGCTTTGTGGGCTCCAGTGGCTGTGCTCTATGCATGTTATGCCCCAATTGCTTCCATATGCTGCTATGTGAGCCGCAAATGAAAATGGGTACAACTTCAAAGGGGATTTAACTTGATTATAGAGTTTAGAAGCTCTTAGGAATGTGCTGCTTCTGGTAAATCGCTGTTCTGGGGAAAACTGATGACTGACTGATAATTTTGTTCAGTGTCAAGAAGTGGTCATCTTGAAGATGGATGCCTTTCAAAAGGTTACTTTTTTCTCTGACCGTGGACAAAGTTTAGGCTTCGAGGCATCTAGCACCATTTACCATTTCACACAAATATACCAGCTGAACTGAAAGTATTGACCAGACGATGGTCATTAATCAATTATGTGTCAAAATGGATGTGGCCCAGGGTAAACTGACATTTAGCATCAGCATCAACCATCAGTCAGTCTGTGTTTGACCCACATTTCTGATTGCATAGTCCTGGGGTGTCCAACTCCAGTCCTCGAGAGCTACTGTCCTGCAGCTTTTAGATGCATCCCTACTCCAACACAGCTGAATCAAATGGTTGGGTTACCTCTTCAGCATGCAATCAAGTTAAGTAAAGGCCCAGTAACAAGCCATTCATTTGATTCAGCTGTGTTGGAGTAGGGCTGCATCTAAAAGCTGCAGGACAGCAGCTCTCGAGGACTGGAATTGGACACTCCTGGTATAGTATTTTATCCCATTTGAACTGTGAAGCCCAGCACATCCAGAACAGCAAAGATAGTTGAGAAACACTTGCAGTCAGGCCTCCTTACTTCAAATAAAATAAGATTCTAACAAGCTTAAATGTCAAGCTGTGGTATCACCACCTTTATTGTTTAACACAACCTGAACTCTCTCCGGCAAGCGTTCCTGTAACTTCTTTAAGTAGTCTCAGGAACTATTGTCCAGGCTTCCCGAAGGACATTCAAAGCTTTTTTTTTGGATGCTGTCTGCTTCAATAATGTTGACGTCCGGGCTCTGGCAAAGCCGGTCCATGACTGATAGTGTTCAACTGTGTGCTCTTTCTATTTATGTATGCTTTACAGTGTGTTGGGATCATTATCACTGTCCAGAGTCCTCAAAGTTTCAAGGAGCTACTTAAAACTTCTTTTTTTTTGTTATCTCTGTCAAACTTTGTAATCTTTAGCATTTTCTTATTTTTAATTAAAGAAATGCAAACAATTGTGTGCTTGTGGAACAGGCTGCCAGTAACAAACGACCCAAAGTTACCATTTAAAATGGGTTCTTTGCTAAGCTGTCTGTTATGTGTAGACACAACACCAGTTCATCCCTTTAGCTCATTGCCTTTTTATGCTTATTGATTCACAGGTAAGCGTCCTATAGCTTAAAAAACAAAAAAAATCCATCTGAAAATGGTCAGGTACAAGGAGTGAACTGAAAATGAGTGAAAAAGCAGCTAACGTCTAGAGAAAACTTCAAAAGACCGTCAGGAAGCCTGGAGACCGCTTCAAATAATTACAACAACTTTGGCTCCTTTGAAGCATACAGAGGTGGCAGCTCAAGACTTTTATACAGTATTGCATATAACATATTACATGAAGAACATTAACAGCTGTTCAGTGCTAATCAATGCTAGTCACCGTGAAATAGACTGCAGTCCTGCAAGTTTCCTGAGTGACTATGACCTGATCTAAAAGCTTGTATGTTTCGGATTCAGATTTTTTCTAAACTTTTCCGATTTCCTGGACATCATTTTCAGAAGGACCTTGGTTACAAAGGAAGTAAAGGTAAAAGTAGACAAATGTACCCTTGATAGGACATTACAGCCAAACACATGGACATTGTAGCTGAAATACCACAGCACTATTGGCTCTTTAGATCTGGTATTTCCATGAAGAAAAAGGACGAATCATCCAAGAAATAAACTACTGTCTCATTTTTGGACCATGAGTTCAGAACTTATAGACACTGTATAACATTAATAATTATTTTCCACTTGGCTTTTAGTTTATTTATTGTTTAAATTTTCATATTATTAATCCTTAATAATGTGGGCCCTTAATCCTTTGGTCCAGTTACAGCTTGTATTTCCCTCTCTTTTCCTTTGGTCTTTTCCCCCCGTTACCCTCCTGTGTCCACTTCCTCTAATGACCTGTGTGTTTTTTCAAGCCCCACTCTTCCTCTGTCCTTTGTTGCAGAGCCTGTGTGCTTGCACAATGTTCTGGCTTGTCTTTATGGTTCTTGTTATTTTCACCAGCCAACATTAAGGTTTGCTTTTGGTTTATTTGGACGGCGCTACGTTTCTGAATTTTGTTCCCAAACTCTGTGATTCACGACACTCTCTCTGATTTTCAATTTCTTAAAAAAGTTTTAATAATAAATTGAACCTTTCATCTCACAGCACAGGATTATTCCAGTGATTCTTTATTGCATTTTCATGAACCTGTGGGCTGTCTGAGACTGTGTACCTCTGCGAGGCAGAAAATTCCCTCCTCAGCGTGCGTGACATGATCCAAAAGAATATCTGGATCCAAATTAGTATGTGACATTTTTGTGAGAACTTCACGATGACGTCCTGTTTTAACTGGATATGTTTTTTGGAAGGTATGAGACAGAATTGGGACGGCACGGCGATGCTGTGGTTGGCACTGTTACCTCACAAAAATTCTGAGGCAACAGTTTCTGTGCACGCTATCCGTGCTCGTGTGGGTTATCTCAGGGTACTCCAGCTTTATCCCACAGTCTGAAGTCATGCATGTGTTAGGTTATCTCAGTGGTTCCGAATTGACCATAAGTATGACTGTGAGAGTGAATGGTTATCTGTCTCTCTCTTATCCCTGTGACGATGTCAATCTCTCAAGCCAACTTTATTTATAAAGAATTTAAAAACAATAAGCACTGAACATAAAAAAAATATACCAGAATAAAGTAAAATTAATATCAAATACATAAAAATGACAAAATAAAATAAAACAATGCAGAACAAAAACGCAAATAACCATGAGTAAAAGAATAAAAGCGTAAAAATTGCATCAATGTATCAAACTGGGTCAAAGAAAAGCAGAAGAGGGGGGTCTTTAAAATGAAAGAGGTGCAAAGGCAACAAATTCCATAATTTGGGAGGGTATAGTGCATAGGTGTCAAACCGAAGCCATACCAAATTACTATCAGAGCTGGCCTACTGGTATTATACAGCTAATATATATATTGTTTAGTATTAAGCTTTGCTTGTTCCATATTCAGTTTTCCAGAAAAACTTATTTGAGTCCATAAGAAAAGATTCATTCTTATATCTGGAGGAAGATTTTTTTTTCAATAAATATTAATGTTAGCCCGCGACTTTGTTCCAGTTTTGAATTTTGGCCCACTGTGTATTTGAGTTTGACACCCCTGGTCTAGTGTGTTCCCTGCCTCCCGCAGCAACACCCCAACTTGATAAGAGGAAGAAAATAGATGGATGGATAAAAGTTCTTCTAAAATTTCTGACCCAATCCAGATCATTTTTAGGTTATTAGCTCAAAATTGGTTGGAATTTACTGTCTCAATTCTGAGTTATTTTCAGAAAGTTTTGACTAAAAAATGACAGTTTTTATTTTACTCAGTGGTGAAACAAACGTCCATAGGGTCAGTCTTGAAAAGTCATCTGTCTTTAACAATCACATGACCTCACTGGACTGAAAAAAGTAAGGTTAATATTCATGGAGGTTAAGACATTTTTAAAAAGTACAAAACTCACCTGCTTGCTGCATACAATGCTGCTACTGCACATTCACCTAATGTATATAATATATAATGTTCTTCTTCTCTCCCCCTTTTGCACAAGTCGAGGAGCGTGTCAGGTTACATTTCACTGCTATGCACGTGACGAATAACGAATCTTGAATTTTGAATCTTAAAAAATCCAGCATCTATAGCCTGGATTTTTTTTATGCCGACTATTACAGATTTTAAAAAGTCACTAATGTCATTTTTCATTTTCATTTTGTGCAAAAGTTAAAGACCTGTGATCAAGCCAAATACTACACGGGACACGTTGCAGTTAAAAATAAACTGAACCCTGTTAGCGTAACATTACGTAATGGAGTGCAAACCTCTATGACGCTGCTCTCCTGCTGTTTCTTCCTACACATACCATAAAAATGGCCAGCCTATATCTACATTACAACCTTCTACGTGGATGGGCAACTTTGCGAGGGCATGAAAAACCCCACTTCTTAAAGAAAAGCGTGACTAATCATAGTGTAATAATCACAGGATACACAGATCCAAACAATGCAACATGTGATCTAAGCCAGCAAACCCAAGGTGGTGTTTAAAACCTGAGCTAACCCATGATTTGGGTTGCTGGGGCAACAGCACAGTGAGGGTAAAAGGATCCTCGGCAGAAGGAAAACTGGAAACACAGCCCTTACTTTCACTATTGTGCTTGGCCACCTCCCA